GACACGAAAAAAGACAAAAAGGAAAAAATAAATAAATAAATAAATAAATGTGATCCGATGCTATGGAAGCATGAAAGAGGTCATTTGATCTGGTTAGGGGGCGCAGGCCAGGCTTGCAGGACAGAACTGGAATCTGGAGAAAAGCAGGTAAATAAAAGCAAGAGAAGAGGGTCCAAGCAGAGGGACAGCCAGGGAAAAATTCCCTTCCACATCCCTCAGTGTTGCAGCTCTTACACTTTAGTTTCTTGAATTGTCCCCATGCAGTCCTTTACCTCCAGGCTTTTACTCCTCCCACCCTCATCCACTCTATCCTGGCTAACTCCTGCCCATCCTTTTGTCTCAGCTTAGATGTTACTGCCTTTGGGGAAACTTCTCTGTAGCCACCTCTCCAGCCACATTTAGACACTCCCCAATGGGCTGCACCTGCCTCCAGTGCTTACCCTTACATAACTTTACCAACTTCCTTGTTAGGCTGTGAGCTCCGTGGGGACAGGAACTGAACCTTGTTCACTGACATCCCCAGTGCCTACTGCAGAGCACTGAGTTAATGAGCAATAAGTATTTGTGAGAGGAAGGAAGAAAAGGGTCATATATGTCAATAGATGGTAGTCATAATAACAATAGTTCTTATTTGTACATCACTTACTGTATGCTAGGTACTGTTCTAAACTCTTGAATATATTAACTAATACTTCTCTCAACAAACCTATGGGTTGGATATTATTAGTTTCCCCATTTTACTAAACCTGTTTAAAATGTCCCAGTTCCTCATCTATAAAATGGAGATCGTAATAATTCTTACTTCGCGAAATGAGCATTATAGAAAATAAGCAAAAAAAGCCTGCCTAGGAAGTGCTGGTTAAGTTCTGTTATTATGATTGTTTGCCAGGGCAAAGACAGGGATGAAAGCCCTGGTTCAGAAAACTCCAACTTTGCAGGAGGAAGAATGACATCACACTAACCCTGAAGATGGCCAGCAGAGCAGAAAAGAGACTTAGTGTTGCTGAAATCCTGTTGAGAGCAGGGACAGAGCTTCCCTGCTTGTGACAGTCTCCTCCTGAGCATCCTTCAGAGATGGGACCAAGTAGGAAAGAGTGTGCAGGTGGCTGAAAGTCCCAAGATTAGCTTGCTGTGGACTCCAAATTCAAAAGTAAATCAAACTTTTCTTAGTTTTAGATGTAGTTTTACAATAGCTGTCACTGTGCAGGGAGTTCTCAAACACACAGATGGGAGAGGTAGAGGGTTCCTAGGATAATTTGGTAATAGAGAGAGAACATGATCTAGTGAAAAACAATGGAATTTGGGGTCAGTTGTTCTCATTCTAGCACTATGATAACATTCCCAACCTTGAACAATTTACTTAGATTTTCTAAGCCTTAGTTTTGTCACCCATAAAATAGGCATAATAAAACCCATCACTCAATGTTAGTTCCCTCCCCCATTGGCTAATTTTCATAATCTTTCTGAGACTCAGTGTTTTTATTTGAAAAATGAGAGTAAAGTGATACCTGGATTAAGGAATTGACATTTAAATGGGTTAATTTGAAAACTCTATTATGTAATTACAAGGTATTATTACTCAATCAACAAAATATTTGTGGGGCCAGCCAGTGGCGCACTGCTACAGTGCCCCGCTTGGGAGCGCGGCAGCGCTCCCGCCGAGGGTTCGGATCCCACATACAGACTGGTTCCTGCTCACTGGCTGAGCGAGGTGCGGGTGCAACCCCGAGGGTTGCGATCCCGTTGCCGGTCCCGGTCCGGTATGGGCACGACACTGAGGGTTGCGATCCATTGCCGGACATGAAAAAAGACAAAAAGGAAAAAAAAAAAATTTGTGAAGCCTACTCTATACCAGATTCTGTGGTAGGTACTGGAGAAATGGAAGGTTGACTGAGGCAGGGCCTTGCTCTCAAGAGGAAGTTGCTGAAAAAGAAATCAAATCTTCTCCTTGGTCTGGAGAAAAGGCAGTGAGGCTGGAGGGAAAGGTCTCTGCACGGGCATCCAAGTTTCTGTCACTTGGCCCTCCCTGGGGTATATCTGATACCTTACTCCCAGCCATCAACTGAGAGATTGCCCAGACTACCTGACCCAAGGGATCTAGGGACGGGGATACAGGATGGATTTCCAAATCTTCAAAATAAGCAGGTAGGAGAATCTTAACAAACAAAAGTTACTTGAGTGCAGTAGGGAAGTAGTTGCACAGACTGATGGAAGAGGTTGTCAAGGAAGAGGAGAAGAAAATCACCACAGATTTCTGTGTTTCTACTGCAAGTGGATTGGATAATTCAGATACACTGATTTCCAGCCCCACCAGCCAGGTCTCCTGCTTTTAAGCTCTTTTTATCTTATTTCCCTTTTCCTTCTGAGAAGATAAAAAATGAGTAAGGGGCAGAAGGTTTCCAGCCAACCATGATTCAGAAGGAAGCAGAGCCACAAAACAGGCAAGTATGAGATTGCCTAGAGGAAAAATACTTGTAGAGGCAGGTTCCAGATAGATTACCCCAGATTTTTCAAAGAAGGCACCTCCTTCATCATACGTTTGTTCTAAGACCTTCCAAATTCAGGAAGAAATCATCTGCTTCTTCAGTGACAACCTGGCACAATGTACTCAGCAGGCCCAATGTGAGTAAACCGGAGACTTCTGTACAACATGACCTGCAGGGACAAAGCAGGTCCTGTTTGTAGCCTGACGTTTGTGACTCTGCTGCTTGTCTTAAATCCAGAAGTCCTACTCCTGGGAACTGGAGTACAGCTTCAAGACAATGGGTATGATGGATTACTTGTTGCAATTAATCCTCAAGTAACCGAGGATCAGAATCTGATCTCAAACATTAAGGTAAGTGGCAGTTATAAAATCAATACCATCATCCCATTAGATCAGTCCTGGAGCCTTCTTTAAAAAGCTTACAACGCTGCCTAGTTTGTATTTGAGCCATAGAGAGAGCACCATTTCTTTAAATCTCTGTAATTAATGCTCCTTATTCTTTCATACTTTCTCACGAGTGTGTTTTCCTCACTTCTAGTTCCGTGCCAGTGGTACAGGAGCCACTAAGAGAAAGAGTGTGCTGATGTGGTAAGGATTGGAAGTGAAAGATTTACTGATTAAAAAGCACTTATTTAGATGGAAAGTTAGATAACTAGCAGAATCTGAGCAGACGGATCGTAACCCTTGGCTTGGTGTCGCCCGCACTGCGCTCAGCCAGTGAGCTCACCGGCCATCCCTATATAGGATCTGAACCTGCGGCCTTGGCACTCCCAGCGCCACACTCTCCCGAGTGAGCCATGGGGTCAGCCCAAGAGCAGCATTTCTTAAAGATAACACCAAAATTTACAATTATGGCCAAGCCGTTTGTTCATCTAATTCTGTGCAATCTCAGCTCACAGAGTGTTGATCAAACCCTCTTTTTTTGTTGTTGTTGATTACTACTAATTTTAGCTTTATTTGTATTCCTACATGACTGTTTTGGGGATAGCAACCTAGAAAAATAACGCGTCGTGGCAACAAAGACTGGATGTTTGACTGATGAATACGCCTGATAGTGCTTATTAAAATCAGGCTGTTGGATTCCATCCTGAGGGTGAGAATTCTCAGATGGAAAGGGTGAGAGTCTGTGTGGAGTGCCAAAGAGCAAAATTATTTCCTTTCACTTGTTTGTTCTGTAAAGTAATTGACTATTTTCACTTTAATATGACAAGGGAGAATCAGAGCTCTATTTCTTAAGAGACTCTTGGTATTGCCTTAGGGAAATCAGTGTGGTTATAAGGCGTGGTCTTGAGCCAGGTGTGACATGAAGAGGATTTGTTTGGTAAGAGCTTAAAAGCCTTGAACAAAGTTGGGAAAATTATGAAGGCAAGCCCAGACACACAATTTGCATCCTTAAATCTCTTCCAGATAATCATTTGAAAGTTTTCTTTTTTTAAATTTTGCTTTTAAGCTTTCTCAAAGTCTAATGCTTTCTATAAAAGAAATGAGCTTTTTCAAATATTTTCAATACTCTAGTTATACTTGTTTAAGTATACTTGTTTCAATATTCTGATTATGCTTGTTTAACTATAACCAGAAAACCAAAACATACAGGATTTACAAGTGATAAAATAAATTTTTCTTTTATTTGGTTATAGGAAATGATAACTGAAGCTTCATTTTACCTATTCAATGCTACCAAGAGAAGAGTGTTTTTTAGAAATATAAAGATTTTAATACCTGCCACATGGAAAGCTAATAATTACAGCAAAGTAAAACAAGAATCATATGAAAAGGTAAGAATTCAGGATTTCATTAAATGATGTTAATTCTACTTAAGGGCAAAAAACACCTAAATATACTGTGCTCAAATTCTAGAAGTGAGAACTTAAGCAAAAACAAATCATTGATATGAATACATAAATAATATTAGCAGACAAAGTGTTATCAACAAAATATATGGAAATAAAATAAATAAGTACAAATTATGGAGTAAAAAGTAAGTAAAATGCCATTGCTCAAGTAGCTTCTCAGAAGATCTCTTTGTCTTATAACTTACAGAGTCCTTTCTGAAATTTTTCATGGAGGACCGAGAACTAGTTTTATCCTATTGGGGACGAGCTGTGAAGGGAGCAGTTCCAATTATGACTGTCTTCACCTACCATTCTGTTGGGGACAGTTCAAACAAAAATGCATGTTCAGTTTCACACATGTGACTGTCTTCTTATGCCATGGTATACATTAGCAGAATTTCGCATTAGCCCAAGTCTAGAATGCTGTTCTAGAGAAATAAAGAGATAAGAAGGAAGGCAGGAAGGGTATGTGTGTTGAGTGCAGGGGTGTAAGGGAGTGGCTACCTTTTCTGTTCCAACCAAAGAAAAACTTAACCTTGAAGAACTTCATAAGCTGCAGATCATGGTTAAGAACCCATGATGTATGGCACATCCTTGTATACACACTATAAATAAACATTAAATAAGTTTGGCAAATAATGGTTTGAAGTCACTGTGAACAAGAGCCCATCATAGCTACCAGAGAGCCAAGAGCAGAGGCATTGAGAAGAACTTAGCCCAGGTGTTCAGCAATGGAGTGGGTTTGAGACTGTGACTACAGCTCCATCAGGATGACTCGAACATGTAGTATAATTTCCCTTTTCCTATTTCTGTCATTTGGTATGGAATTTCCTAAGTTTCTTTAATTCTTAGCTCTCCTTTGAAGTTACTCTCTCAGAACTTGACTGGTATAGCAATCTAGATAGGTACCCCAATGTCCCGAAGAAGTTAAACAGGCTCTTAAAATCATTTGATTTATGAGCAGATGAAAGCATTTGACAATGCTTGGTCACGGAGGTAGGACAGGTAGGGTAACTGGGATAAACTGGAAAGAGAGCTAGTGTTTAAGCTTCAACTAAGTGCCAGGCATTTTACATATATTACTTAATTCTCACATATCCTAAAATTAGTCACTGTCATCACAAATTAGGAAATTGAGGCTCGAATAAGATATGAGTCCCAAGTCAAACAGCTAGCAAATCACAGAGCCACAGTTCGAATGTCTATTTGACCCCAAAACCCATGCTCTTTGCACTAGGCTGTATTGTCTCTAGCTATCTATGGAAATTGCATTAATCAACTTGAGGCTCGAATAAGATATGAGTCCCAAGTCAAACAGCTAGCAAATCACAGAGCCACAGTTTGAATGTCAATTTGACCCCAAAACCCATGCTCTTTGCACTAGGCTGTATTGTCTCTAGCTATCTATGGAAATTGCATTAATCAATTTGGCCATTCAGTGGAACTAAGACGTTTGGAGACAACCAACACCAAAAAAGCGGTTGCCAAAGGTGGTACTCCTGAGCCTGACAAAGGGGAGAGAAATAGGAAAGTAAAGCAAAAGTGAGAGTATGGCTGAACAGGAAAGAAGAGTCATTAAATGGTATTCATATATCTGTTGGATACCAATTCCTTTAACTTCGTAGTGTCAATTAAGCAAACATTTAGTGAATGATCATTATATTCAGGGGCCACACTAGGCACTGCAGAGAACACAAAGACAGCAAGGTAGTTCCTGTCCTTGTGAATCTACAATGTAATATAGGGAGGAATGGTGAGGGGCGAGGGTTGGGAAA